ATTATTACCTATAATTTCTCACCAAAATTTTTTTTCCCTTTTATTGCCTATGTAGATAATCGGAGTCCGGTTTTTTTTGTTTGTAGATGCCGAAAGTTCATGCTAGAAAGACTAATAAAGCTAACTGGACTATGGACCACCTTGAAAAAGCTGTAAAGCTCATCGATGAACAAAATTTTTCTATAAGAAAAGCCGCGAAAACCATGAATATTCCATTTGCCAGTCTTCACAAACCAAATAAAAAGAGCAGCATTTGCATACGCTGAAGTCCTAAATCTGAAACACAATTTTAAAACGAGTTCAAGATTTGCTGGTCGAGTTTGGTTTGAGGGATTTGTTGCCAGGAATAATATTTCTGTGCGGAAACCAGATAATTGTGACGAAACGGAATCTCCACCGTCCAAGAACCTGAAAAAGTATTAGCTGCTACGGGACAAAAGAGAGTAGGCTCCATAACAAGTTGGGAACGGGGTAAGAATATCACTTTGCTCTGCGCTATGAGCGCTGCAGGTGGATATGTCCCGCCAATGTTTATTTTCCCCCGAAAGAGGATGAAAAAGATGGGCCAACAGGAGCAATATATAAATGTTCGGACAACGGATGGATAAATGAAGAACTTTTCCTTCAATGGCTTAAGCACTTTATCCAGTATGCCAAACCCTCTGCAGAAGAACTAATTCTATTAATTTTGGATAATCATGCGAGACACATTTCTCTAGCCATCTTTGAGTATTGTAAGGATTACTATGTCCATATGCTGTCTCTACCACCACATACATCTCATCGCATGCAGCCATTAGATGTGTCCTTTTTTGGTTCATTTAAAGCTTCATATAGACGAGAATGCGATTTATACATGAAGAGCCACAAAGAATGTCACATAGAATAACACCCTGTGATATAGCTTCGTTGGTCAAAAAAGCATTTTCTAATGTTGCCTCCTTGAGTAGGGCCGAAGCAGGATTCAAATCAACGGGCATATTTCCTATAAATCCAAATGTTTTTTCAGATGAAGACTGTATAGCAGCCGAAGTTCTTCAATCAGAGCCAATTGTTGTTCAAAAAGTTGCTGACTCTATTTTTGAATCGACTTCTGCTGGAGCTGTTGTCCCTGCTTAATCCCTTATGCCTACTTTTGAGCTAGAACGAAACATTCCTATTCCAAGTACATCCACATTCTGTTCCACTTCTTCTGGACCAGCGACTGCATCGTTGTCTCAAATTGATATACCATCAACATCTAAGGATCTGTCAAGTATTCAAAATTTCATTCAGATGCCTAAGAAGGTAGCTGTTGTCAAGACAAGACAAGGAATGAAAAAACAGCATGCAACGATTTTAACATCCACACCGATCAAAGACGCCCTAGTTGAAAAGAAAATAAAAGGAAAGAAAATCAAGCCACAGAAGGGTAGTCGTGACAAGGTTAAAAAGAAAATTCTGCAGGACTCCAACGATACTTCGACGTCAGACGTGAACACGGATGTGTTATGCCAGGAAATTGACGATGCAGAAGATGCAAGCAGCTTGTGTCTTGTATGTGGTGAAATCGGCCGAAACAATGAAACATGGTACGAGTGCACTTCTTGTGGGCTCTGGGCTCATGCCAACTGTACTGGATGGGATACTGTGCACAATTATGTTTGCGATATGTGTTTTGCCACCATTGCCAACCCAAGTTGACAATCGGGATCAAATTTTTTTTTTAAATTCTATTGTACCAAAACTAATAAAGCAAAGTGATTAAAGTTGATCTCAATCGATAGTTAGTAAAGTAAAGTTTATAATAAGAACAGAGTAATAAATAGATGATTCATAGATTTGCTTTTTTTCATTTTCGCTTAAGTGATCCCCATTACCTACATTTACCTTACATAGGTTGTATGTAGGCATATTTGTATCTAGCATATTGCTTTACACAATCAGTTAAATGAAGACAGACAGATTTACAAAGTAGGTATTAATTATTCACATTTAATTGAAATTCTTATTTTCAAACATATGTTTACTTTATTAGCCTTTTTCTCAGAAGCATTTATACTTTTATAATATATTTCTTCTTGTTTATTGTGATTTTAATATAATGTAATTATTATTTAAGTTGATGAATATGGATGTTAAAGGTAAAAACATAATATCGACACACTCTTGCAACTCAACCATAGAGGAACATTATTTTTTTTTATCACAGCACAGATACATGAGTGTTACCAGAGACTGGATAGGACAGCGATAGAAGGCAAAGTTAAATTTCAAACATTAACATTTATTTTGAAATATACGTTTTTAAGAGAGCGCGTACACCAAATATCATTAATTTTGAATTGGTTTTATACAAATAATTATCGTCAGAGTAGCAAACAAACTAAGTTAAATAATACGAAATCTGCATCATATTTATATGGATTAACAAACGAAACTATAAAAAAGTTTACCCTTTTTATTTCATATTGTATACCTACACTTTTATAGGGAATATTGATAAATATATGAGCCACTTTTGTAACCGAAGGGTTTAATGTTGCACTTTTACAACATTATAGATTGCGAGTAATTTGTTAAGAATCGTACTCCACTGAAAAACGAATTTGACGTCACATAAAACATTTATATTAATAGATAGATCACTATCGATACAATCCCGTGTACACCACCACATTTTAACAGTTAATATAAAATGTTTTATGACATGTACGGTCGGCCAAGAAAGTGGTCTACCAGTTTTGATAACATTTCCCGTGTCTTTAAAGCATCGCTAAAGGCGAATCTTAGAATTGCATACAAACAATAAAAGAGATGCACAATGCTGACGTGTTGTCGTAGAGCACAAATGTTATTTTGACCTTTGCAGCCTATGCATTAGATAATAATTTGCAACAACAAATAGTCTTCACAATATTTCATAAATTTAAAATTTAAGTAGGTCACTTCAAAGTGGAAACTATTTTGTTACGAAAACTCTTTTACTGAAAAAGAATATATCACTTGACAATTCATGTCAAATATTTTCTCGGCATTTTCCGTAGGTATTTTCCTAATTAATTTACACTACAATGCCCCAAAATTTATCCATTAACGAAAGAGCACAAATAATCGCATTACACAATGATGGTTTGAATATTAGTGAGATTTCTAGAGAATTAAATGTGTCGGTAAGTATTATTATGTCTGACGTGAGTTTAATGTAAAATCTCAGACCAAGTCCGAGTGTAAAAATTTTTTTTTATTTTTTCTGTTCATATTTTATTTTTATTATAGAGACAAGCTGACCGTCTTTGGATAAGACGAGAAAGCGAGGAGGGGAATTTGAACGCTCGGAGTCGTAGCGGTCGTAGACCTGAAATATCTGATACTCAGCGAGTCTTCATGAAACGGAGTTATGAGGAATCTGGCTTTATACCAACGCGTTATTTTGCCGACATATTTGACGTGACTCTCCAAACCATTAGAAACCATTTACATTACATGGGCTTACATCACAGGCGTTATGCAAAGAAAATTTATATGACTGACGCTCATAGAATGGCCAGATTAAATTTCGCCATAGAATATTTGGATTTTGATTGGAGTAACACTGTTTTCTGTGACGAGAAAACTTTTAAATCCAGTCAACACGGGCGTCTACACCTTTGGCGATTCAATAAAACGCGATACACGCAAAATCATGTCGTGCCAAATAGAGAATCGGGTCGTATCTCGGTAAATTTGTATGGATGGATGACTGCTGATGGTGTTGGAGACTTGACCTTTTTGCCACCACGAGCAACGGCATCAGATTATGTTGATGTTCTCCAAAATGCTATGTTGCCATCCGTCCGGAACGTTTATCCAGAAAATGAAATGCGTCAATTTAATTATTTACAGGATAACTGTCCCTTACATAAAGCAAGGGTAACACGTGCTTGGTTTGATGCACATCCGGAAATAAACTTGATACCATGGCCTGCAAAATCGCCAGATCTCAACCCTATTGAAAATATGTGGGGTCTTATGGTTCAGAGATGGTGTAACCGTAATGAACGAACAGCAGAAGCACTACAAGGGCACTGCAATGAGGTTTGGGAGGAAACACGTGGGTCTGATATCTGCTCAAGACTGGTGGGCTCGATGAGGGAACGTCTCCAAGCTGTTATAGAGGCAGATGGCGGCTACACAAGATTTTAAGAATTATAATTTTATAAAAGAATTGTATATATTTTTTAACAACCAAAGAATTAGCATTTTCACTATCTCTTCTAGTTTTAGCCCTTGTCTCGCACTAAGCTATGGGTCGGCGCAATATGTTTTTCGTCGCTATTCATTTCTGTTATCCGTTATCTCAGTATATTCAGACCTATAACACGCATAGCTTCTTACGCATAGCATTTCACTACCTACTGATTTTTTTTATTTGTATTAAAATATAATTAATCTACATTCTAATGTAGGATATTTGTAGACTATAAGACTTTATTTACGATATTCTAACTCTAAAGTATTTAAACATACAAACAGACAGACAGAAAAAAAATATTTTTGGCTTCTATTAGTCTTATGAAGGCCGTCCATATATATTTTTTCCAAAATATCTTACAAATCGTCGCTGTAGAATGATAACCTCGTAAGTCAAAATATTCAAATTTTACAGAAACCGAAAATAACAGTTATTTTCGTTAATGTTTAAGATTTTGTCACGTATTTTTGTACTATGTTAGGAATGCTAAAAATGCTCTTTTATATAATTAATCAACATTGTTATTTTATTATATAATATTACTTTAATGATATACGAGGTTTTCTCATTCTAGGTATACAAAGTTACGAGGTTTTCAAAATTAAAGACAGGTGTTAGAGAAAATATCAAAGTTTAATGAACACAAGTTTTTGGTAAAAATCATGTAGGATATAAAGCATAATTGTCTTTAACTTGTCCTAAGTTTATTAATAAAAATTTAGGCAATCATCATCAAGAATTAAAATGTGAAATTTTTCGAGATTCATTTAAATGTAAAAATTGGCTATTACAAATGAGGTAAGTTATCATAAAATGAATGCAAATCTCGAGGAATCACACATTTTAATTCTTGCAGGTGACTGTATTTTATCTTAGTTATAGGTAATTTTGCATAATATAGCTGTTGAAAGCAATCAGTACTATTTGGTTGACGTATCATCCTCCGTGGTAGTAATTGATATTCTTCTGAATAACTAAGTTTAAACTTTATTGAACCTTCTGGCTCATACATAAGACAACGTATGTCTGTCACTTGTGGGTCGCCAGCCGTCTTACCTGGTCTTATCGATGAGAAATATGGCTGTGTGCTGTATTTTCTGAAGGCTGTGTGGTCTAACTGAATAACAGTGTAGGGTCGAGGATTAATTCGAGCAGTCTTACAGGCTTCGACATAGCCTGCTGGAGAATATATCTCGCGATTTTTTGTCTGACGTTCAATTGTGGAATGCATTGCATCACATTCCATCTGGGTATGACCCTTCTCGAGGTATTTTTGAAATATGACCAAACCTGTCTTAGCGGCTACGAATAGAAGTGCATTAGAAAGAATAGAGTTCCTATTCTGATATGTACATCCATCACTGTATATTATCACTTGTCTAGTTACTGCCGTATCAATATTGTTATTTAGAAAATCAACTAAGATGCTTGAAAATTCATCGGCTGTTAAACCACCTTCTGATTCATCCCAAAGGAAACAAAACCCCTCTTTGGATTTGAGATTGTATATTGTGAAGTTATGCACTTTGAGTTTCATTTTATAGTACAGAGCCGATGCCTTTAAATACGGACAAAGCAGAACAGATTGCATGTCCATAGTAAAAACTTCAACGGAAGCGTCAGTTTCAGTTTTTTCCTTATCTTTCTGACTCTGTGCTTCTGTTTTCCTGATTAAATGTAGTTGATAATCTGTGTCACTAACATTACCAGCTTTGTGACTACAGCAGGTGTCGCATTGGTCTTTTTTGGGGTAAAACAAAGACAAATTCATGCTCTCAAATAATTCCCAAAATGTATATCTTGAGGCACTGAGATGAGATTTGTTCTGGTCTTTTGTATATTTTAAATATTCATTGAAGAGTGCGGATTTCGATTGCCAATAAGGTTCTAGGTAGAGTTTCGTTGAACTTTTTCTACAGTAGTGTGACTCAAGTTTTGGTAGCGAATTAAAAAACTCTCTCAATAGATCCTTTTTCAAAATACTTTGTTGGTTTCTGTTGCTGTGTCTTTGTGAAATGGGCGTTGTACTGTTTGAAATAGTGTTTTCAACCCAATTATGAACTGACCATTCACCAATATTTAATGTATTTAAAAACATTTTTTACAGACTCTGAATACTGTCGCTTTATCTTTTAAATTGTACTTAAATGAATAATTTCTCCTAGAATTAGAAGCTTCCGTTTTCTTTTGCAAAGTACCCGTTTTTGCTACCATTGATGATACGTAGCAATGTTTTGCTTCCCAACTTAGTTGCCAAAATTGTTCAAAAATCCGTGATCTTGTTTCTTCGGAGAGCTTGCAGCATTCAAAATACTTCGCATTGTCATTATGCTCACACCGACATTTAATTTCTTTAGGAGCCTTTTCAACATCTTAGACAATTTTGCCCTCTTCGTTCCTTCGTCTTCCTAGGTATTTTTCACCCTTCATTCGTTTGCTTTTTTGTTGCTCATACTTCCACTGAGATTTATCACTGCGACCTCGTTTAGCCTTTTTGCGTTGTTGATTAGATGTTTCCGACAAAATGTCAGAGTCGTTATTTGGTAGGAAATTAGGATCTTGCACAGAGTCGTTACTGCTGAAGTCAGTATCACTTTCAGCCCCTAGAACCTCCAAATTGATATTCTCAATGTTGTCTACATCTGAAGAAAATGACGTCAAAGCAGCTATTTCAGAATCAAAATTTGTAGAAGACACAATATCATCCAGGTTTGACTGTAATAAATGTGAAGGTTCTCCTAAGTCAGCAAGTGTAATTAAGTCTTGTTGTTGTGAATAGTTGCTTAAACACGTACTCACTTCAGTATTCTCTTTATTCTTCGTAGCAGAATTAAACTGTCTCGTCTTGTCATGATCAGAATTAGGGAGATTTTCCCGGTCTGGTTGTAATAAAGAAGGAGATTCTCCCAAGTCAGAATGGGTATCTAAAACTGCCTCTGGTGACGAACAGTTCTCTAAGCACGCAGCGACTATTTTTTTCCCTCGACTGAACATGTTGCCTGAAATAGAATATAAGTTTCGCAAGTAAACTAAAATATCACTTTTTGTGGAAAAAATTGATACCTTCAGCTTATATGAAAACCTTGTATGTCATAAAAGTAGTTTGAGTAACCGTGACTTACGAGTTTTTCATTGTTACAATCCCGCCAAATTAACAAACCACTTTTATTGACTAAATAACAACTTCCCGGTTATAAAATTGCCACCAAAACATAGTTAGAAGGATATAAAACAGAAATAAACTTACCTCACATAGATTGAATTCCAATTTAACACTATATTCTAAATAAAACAGCATCGACGCTCCAACCGTGCACGCTATACGAGGTATTCTCATTTGTGACAACAAGATGGCCGCCGAACCATAAATAAGAGGTTTTCGTATCTCTTCATAGATGGCATTAGTAGTAGTTAAATTAAAAAATTCGTACCTACTCATCACGTAAAACGATAATAATTGTTAAAAACATTTTTAAAAATTTCTGCGTCTACATTTTTGTCTTGCGAAATTGTCCATAACATCATCATAGTTTAAAGTTAGCAATAACTTGGATTCAATATTGAGTAAAGCTAACGAATTTAATCTCTTTTCTGTCATGGTGGAGAGAAGATAATTTTTCACTCTCTTCGGGCAAGAAAAACTCCTCTCACCACTGCAGTTGCTGACTGCCGTCGATACGCACATTCTTAACGCTATATCAACGTTTGGGTAAATTGTTTCGAGTTCTCTGTTTCTTATAATCTGTAAAATCGCGTTAGTTGTACGGGGCAGTTCTCCGTCTCGAGCTATCGTAATTAAATAAGAACGTAAATGGATACATTCATCAACAAAGCACTTTTCTAAATAACCAGAATACATCGTTACTAATATATTTGCTTTATTTTTAACTTCCTCATTGTTTAAATTAATCAAATTTCTTAAAAACGAAAATTTACTGTAGAAATTGCTGTACGCTTCTCGTCTCTTTTGTAGTTCAACCACAAGCCTGTCTATAATTACTAGATATACTGCCACTCTGAATGTTTCCCGACCAGATAATGAAAAAGTAATATCATCGGCAGATTCATCTGCTGTGAGTTTTCTCTTCCGTATCCGCTTTGTATCCTTTTCATATTCTTTGACTAATGAGAGTTCCAAGGCTTGTTGTTCATATTTATAAAAATTTTCCCTTTCTGCAGAAATTATTTGAATTAGGCTGTCATTTATTTGAATAACTGTACAAATGTCAATATCAACGGACTGTAGATTTTTGTTAGTTTTGTTCATGTGAACCAGAATAAAATCCCAAAACACAGTCATGAAAGCAGTTTCTAGTCTTTCTAATTTCAATCTTATACCTTTAGCCTCACATAAAACAGAACGTTTTTGCTCAGGATTGCTCTCAATAGCAATCAAAGCATCGCGAATTTCTGGAAATGACTCTTTCAGACTTTTACAAGCATCTGCTCGGACAGACCAGCGTGTGTTAGATGGATTTTTGACAGTAGTTTTGTTTTTTTTTTATTATTACCTAGGAGTATTTGTGCTTGTAAAGTTTCCCATCTTTGAGTTGAAGCTGTAAAAAATGAATATATTTCTTGAAGGCAACCAACAAGCCTCTTGAGCGCATTCAGCGGCACATTCACCCACTAGGTTAAGTGAATGTGCGGAACAGGGTATATATTCCGCTAGGGGACATAGTTCTTTTATTTTTGCTTGTAAGCCATTGTAAATGCCCGACATATTTGCAGCATTATCATACAACTGACATCTACAGTCTAATTCATTAATTTCTAACATGTTTATTGTTTTAATAACAGCATCTGCTATGTCCCGTGATTTGTGACCGACATTTTCGATAAACTTAAGAAAGCGTTCAACGGGCGTACCATCGGCTTGAATATATCGGATCACGAAAGTTAATTGATCAATGTGGGAAATATCTGGTGTTGAATCCACTATTATTGAATAATATTTTGATAACTTGATTTCATCTTTTATTTGTGTTAAAATTTTATTTGCCATCAATTCAATGAATTCGTCACATATTGTAGAACTTAAGTAATTGGTACGTCCCTTTCCTTTGCCGCCACATTGAGTGATATGTTTACTTTAAAACGGATCAAACTCCGCTATGAGTTCGAGCGTCATTAAATAATTTCCGTTATGAAGAGAGCCAAGTTTTTCGTCATGTCCCCTAAAAGATAACCCACGCGATATTAAAGACTTAACAGTCGCAAGCACTCGTTTCAAAACTTCACGCCAATACGTAAACTCTTCTAGAAATTGAGCGGCAATCTCATGATCGACACGACCGACAATGTTAGATCTACGTTGCAATGTCAAAACACATGTTTTATGTTCACATGAGTTTTCATGGCTTTCTAATCTATTCGATGCGTTCTTCCAATCATTAAAACCAACATCTTGTTTTCCAAAACTAATTCCACCACCGAATAATAAACAAGGTCTACAATAAACTTTTCCTGCGCTTTAAGAGTAAATAAGCCATTTCCTTGGACGTTTTTCTCTATTTAATAACTTTCGTTCAAACATTGTTTTTGTCAAAAAACGAGAGATTTTATCTTCATATGTTCTCTTGTTCAATGAAAAATCTGCGTTTATATTTTGATTAAATCCATTCAGTGCAATATATTCTTGTGATTCGTTATTGATATTCCAATTGACCGGGTCACAATCCACGATGACTAGTTTATTTTGCAACTGCCTCTCAACTTCTACTGCTGGCGGAGTAGGCGGCGTAGGCGCTGGCAAATCTTGTGGTTGTTTAGAACTAGTAGGAATTTCGCATTGAATAGGCTCAGTAGCAGACGCATGGTAAATTGCGTTAGAAGATTCGGCGTCATCACTTTTTAGTTTTGAAAAATAAAATTCAATAGGTTTCGTATGCTTTATTACATTTTGATGTTTTTCTTCTTTTTCCATAGCCTTCCTCTTATATGCTGCACCACTAGGTTTTTTCTTCAATTCACTCATTTTTTTTAGCAATAAACTAAACGTATGTATAAACGTAATGCACTAGCTAATTAAATACACACAAATACCGCTGAGAGAACGTAAACAATAAAAGCGCGCGACACGACGTCTTAGCCAATGCAAATGTCCGTCAATGGCGTTAGCCGCTAGCTCCCGACCCCCGCCTCCCTCCGCGCCGCACCTCGCGCCGCAATCTAGCAAGTAGCAACATCCGATGCTAGCTAGCGTTCGACGTGACGAACGTGTAACATTGCAGTTGTATCTACCAATTTCTATTACAAAATCAGGCGAATAATCAAGAAACCGGAGCTCTACATCTCTATAGAGTTGAAGAATCTTCTGTTAATTTTGTTATATTTTTCTTTGTTCATAAACTTCCGCGCGCGCGCCTCTTTGTAATCTCGCGCCCCTAGGCACGTGCCTACTTTGCCTTAGGGATAATACGCCTCTGACTACAGTTGTTATACGGAATATTTGTGGAGCCGAAAGCTTATTTGAAACTAAAAATCATCTAAAATTGTTAAGTGGTCCGGTCTAGCTTTATCAACTTTCAAACGCCTATTTCGTCATGTCTTACCAGTCAAGTCTTGTAACCTTAATAATTATTATAATGACAAAGAAATACTGAAGTATATTTTAAACACAGTATCTACCTATATTTATGTAATCAATTAAGATTACAAATATTGCCTCATAAAAAAAGTCTTTGTACTGTAGACTCGAAAGGTTTTATTTGAAAACAATATAATAAATAAATGTAAATTATTCATTTAAAAATTGGTTGTTATTTATACTCTCTTTGAGTAAATGGATTTCTAATTCTAATTTCTCAGTTTTCTTTTCGTAATATTTAGCTATCGCTAAATTGCGCTGCAGCACCTCGTGTCTTGATGTCTGTTTCTAAATTTACCTGAAATAAAAAAGACATCGAATGATTAGTGTTTTCTTTAATTTTGGTCTGATCTTTTTTATGTCTCAAAGGACTTTTTACTTATTTATTGTTATTTAAACTCCAAAATTATATTAAAATACATTTCCAATTTTAATCGAATTAATTACTTACGCTTATTAAAATGCATGTGTAATTTATGATTTAAAAAGCTACGGGCGCATTGGTGTTTTTTTCTATCACCGTGTTTCTGTAATTTGTACCTAATTGTTACGTGTACACGTGCACGCAACATGATAAGGATTCTCAGGCACGGTGACAGGAGGCAAAAAGTCATAGTGATAGAAAGTCGCCAGGACTTAAACCTAGGCTATGCATGCCTAATACTTTTGACATGTTATGTTTTTACAAATATTGATATTACACATATAAGTATTTGCAATTTGATGATGAAATCAGTGTCATGGTTTAAGTAGTAAATATTTTTAAATTCAACTATTTGTAACCCACCTTTGAATTGTACAGAATTTGACATAGGCAAGCCAGAAAAGGTGGGACTGCAGATTCTTTTTGATTTACTTTTTTTTGCTAAAAAAGAAAAACATGATAATAAAGCATTAATAAGGTCATTTGTTTTGATTGTCACTGGATAGCGATAGTGCTTTTCACTACTTTTTTTATTTGATGCTAGCATGAATGTAATAGGTGGGAAATTCATAGGCGAGTTTCGGTATCGATGATAAAAAAATGTATTGCACTTTTTTTACAATTAAAGGTATAAAAGATTCTTATCACAAAAGGCATTAAGACTTATTCTGGGTGACATAAATTAACAATACCTACTGCAAAAAAAAAATTACACGTTCAAAGTCGATTGAAGTATGCTAAGGGGGCGTCCATAAATTACGTGAGGTGTTTTTTAAATTTTCTGTCCCTACCTCCCCCCCCTGGTGAGATGTCGTGAGATTTTATTCAACCCCCTCCCCCAACCCCCAATCTCACGTGAGATTTTTCAAAATGCAATTTGATGAGTACTTGCGAGTATTTGCCTTGTTGTAGTATCGAGTACTCAGTATCGAGTATCGCTTTTGAAAGTGTCGATACCTACTCGGTATCGAAAGTATCGTTCGAGCCCTACAAATATAGTAGTTTGACATTCAGTAGATGTATAGCGTCGAAGTATGAATGAAATTATTTTCTTTTGAACGAATTTGTGAATGATCTTAATAGTATACGATTACGCTTAAGATTAAATCTTAAGCATGTACAATCTGGATGAAATGGACCAAAATAGTATATTTTTTTTGTTTCAATCAGAAAAAAAATTGCGTGATATTTGTCGAGACCCCCTCTCTCTCCAACGTAAGATTAGATGAGATTTGCCTCGACCCCCTCCCCCCCTTAAACATCTCACGTAATTTATGGACGCCCCCTAACAAGTTTGTATAATATTCACACGAGTAGGTATTCTGTGAAAAAAAAAACTATACCTTCACTCGGACAGTACTCTTCCTCGGAAATGTTTTGTGATGCATCATTTCTGTCTGTTGTCTCTTGTATTTCAACATCACTGTCTTCCACCAAAACTACATTGCTATCGCTTCTGTCACCACCAAAAGAAACTTCAAAGCCCGAGCAGGTTGACCCTAAAAGACCTGCCACTTTGTCTAAAATGTCGTCTGGGGGTATACACTCTGGTTTTCCACCACCCGTCTAAAAAAAGATAATACATAATACATCAGTAGGTACATATCTAGGTAGGCAACATCGCGTAAATAGATGTTTTTAAAACTACTTTACCTACCTACCTACTAGAGCATGTAAAACCAGTTACGCGATATTACAAAAAGGCATGAAAACTGACGAAAAAAGTACCTACACGTACTTGGATCCTAATGTTTTATTTTCCAATTAAGTATGTTCTGGAAAAGTCACACTATGCACTAGGTAATAGATTCAATACCTGTATATATAGATAATCTTCCGTCTGTACGTTAGTAAGTATTGGCGATGGTTTGTATATCTTAGTGAAAAACCGCTGCTTTGGTAACCTAATACACGGCGGTATATTTTAATCTACTACTAACTGAAGTGCAGCATGCATCATTGTTACAAATATTTTATGGCAGCTACACTTCGATCAACAATGTCGATCGAAGCAGATATATTATACTATACAACATCACGTACATTGCTCAGATTTTAAGAGTAGTTAAAGCCCCCGTATTATGGAGTATCTGTGACAACGACGATACCACAATACACAGACCCGAGACGATATAAAAAAGTCAATTTTCTACATTGACCTGACCGGGAATTGAACCCGGAACCTCGGAGATGGCAATACTGAAACCGGCGTTCGAACCATTTGGCTACGGAGGTCAAAATATAACATATAGTTAGTATACTCTACATCAATTAAACAGCGGTCCTTGGGCTAAAAACACCTAACTTCGAACAACAACAGCAATTTTTGCTGTTGTTGTCTTTTTGTCTGGGGATAGACACACACTTTGCATTGAAGGATGTTGTGACAGACAACCAAGCTTCATCTTTAAGCTTATTTGTAGTGGCATTGGTTGCCTTTTTCATTAACGCAGGTTTATCTTGTATTAATTCAACAAGATAAATGACCTCATCGTGAGTCATAGTTTTTTTGGTTTTCTGTAAAAAATATGGGCAAATATTTAACACGGTAACTGAAATCCTTTTTAGGCAACTTTCTATTAAGTCACAAAAAAGTAACTTAGCAGTGATTAAATATCTTAGCAATTATTAAACTATACAAGCAACAAAATGCTAGGATCAAAAAACTAAAAAACGGCTGCTGCTGTGAGGTATCAAATATATCAAGCGGGATCAGTGTATTATAAAACCTAATGTGGCGACTAATTTTTCCGAGGGGATATCAAACATTTTTCACTGGCAACTATTATCTTTCATTATAAAAATATACATCTGGCAGCGATTGTTAGGTAGTTTTAAAACTAAAAATGGGTATTATAATAATGTATTTGGATATTAGAATCTTGTTTGCAGATTCGTAAATTCTTGAAAATGGCGGCAAATGCGCTCGTGTGTCTGAGCAGTGCGGGGGCTGTGGAGCGGGGGGTTGAGCGCGGTTCTAGCCAATAGCAAGCGGCGGACGAATGCGACGGAAAGTCGCAGGGCTCACTATCGTTTGTTATTGTTTTTATTGCTCTCGCGCCTAAACACTTAGAAAAATAAGTTTTTAGGTCTTTTGTTTTAAAAAAAGCAAGTAGTAATGCAAAAATGAACCACTTTGAGTTATCAGGAACGAGTCGTATGATAAATTGTGATGATGGAGTGCCGAATTATTGTTCAAGTGAATCAGAAGAAGAGAATCAAGACGAACCAAAACCGAAACGAGGACGGAACAAATTTTAAGTGTTTTATAATAAATTTCTTAACGTGAAAGAGGCAGAAGACTTTGTGAGTACAGAAAATACTTGGTCTCGGAAATTCACCAGAATGACAGAAGAGGGACAAAAGTGATTCTACAGATCTAACAAAGTACGTAAGTTAGGACCACAATGCGCAGCAGAACTGTACCTACTTTTTGAATCTGGATCCGACAGTGTTTTGGTTTATCGTTCTGAAACTGATCATAATCTTAAAGTTGGACACGAACCAATTACGGTATTCCTGATCAAACTAAACTAGAAATTAATAGGCTGTTTGACCTGCACTTGAAACCGAAGACTATATTGGCTGCTCTTCAAAAGATCGATGGAATCCATTTGCCTACAAAAAAACAATTAGGTAATTATTTATCTGACAGACGAAAAATTACATTTGGTCAACCAATCATTCACTTAGGGGAATTAGAGAAGTGGATACTTGAAAACGAAAACATTCCAGTAGACGAGGATAAACCTTTTGATATGAAGTAATGGATATTGGAGAGTGACCAACCTAAAGTCAGATTTGTTTTGACCACAAAAAAAAAATTGATATTTGCAAGCTCTATCGATGTCCTTCACGTTGACGCGACTTATAAATAATCGGGCAAGGTTTTCCGGTTTTAATTATTGGAACAACAAATAAAACCGAAAATTCTATCCGCTTTGCCTGGGAGTTGCAACAAATGGGCAAAAAGAAGACTATAAGTTGGTTTTAATGGCTTAAAGGATAATATTTTATCTTTGTTAGAAGTCGATTTTAAACCAAAGGGACTAGTCAGTGATGCAGCTCAAGCAATAAAAAATGCTTTTTTGGAAGTTTTTGGCTCTGATACCACGGTGCGCATATAAAACTATGGAAAAAAAAAGATAGAAAAGATATTATGGAAGATATATATGCTTTACATAATGCGTCGTTACTGGAAATTTTCAATGCTGCTTCGCAGGCTTTCATTGTAAAACATGCTACCAAGGCTTCATTTATAAAATATTTTGAACAGGAATGGCTTATCAATAATCCCAATTGGTTCCTAGGAGCAGCAGCAACCCTCTCACCGACTACAAACAATGCTTTGAAAGCGTTTAATAAATCCATTAAAGATCATAATATTATGCGTCAACGCTTTCCCCTGGCACGATTCCTTACTGTGGCAAAAGAGATGGTGACGCAATGGTCAAATGATATCAATGAAAATTCATTACCACAAACACACGAAATTGAACTGAAAGAATGGACAGAAGGATATCGTTGGGCAAGACAGAACGTCAAAGTAAAAACGCTTACATCGGATTGCAACAAAAAGGTGTATTTGGTACCCAGTGAAAAAACGACGGCTATGAAGCATGGCATTCATTTGATGAATAAAAAAAAAACTTTGCATTTTGGAAAACAGAACAACACCATGCACCTGCCCTCAATTCTTGAAAGTTTACATTTGCAAGCATATACTGGGTCTAGCCATCCGACTAAAACTTACCACCCCGCCTATCGAGGCAAAGTCAATACCGATCGGATTAAAAAGGAAGAGAGGACGCCCTACCAAGTCAAAGCCTGCATTAATAATGCAATAGGTAGATTTTTATATTTTTTTAAAACTTTTTTCGTTTTGTGATTATTAAGTAAATTACATATTTTGTGTATTGAAGGAAAATTAATAAAAAAAGACAATGAATCAAATTTTATACCTTTTATTGCACGCTATTTAAATTAATAAAAAAGGAGTTTAAAGCTGAAATACAGCACTAGAATAAATGAACCTATCTACTTTGAGTACCTACCTAGATTTAACAACAATACTTATGTATAACAATACTTGAGTACCAAGTAACCATTTAAACCATTACATTACCATTTAAAGTTCATTTAAAAGAGGGAAGATTAATAATAAATAAGATAGTCAAGAAAAAAATAAATAGACCAAGAATAGTTTTTTAGCATGTCACAATTTGGTTTATTTAGATCCCTACAAATATAGCCAAAAGTATTTTTTTTAAGATCTTGTTTGTATTTATTTCAGCCCTTGGTCAAGTTTATAGACGACCCCATTTTAGAATTTATGAAAGCCTATTTTAACTGTTTTATCCGCCAATAATTTGTCGCCTTAGAAGAAATTCAATTGCCACAAAAGAAAATCCACTTCAACTTCATAATTTAATGTACCACTTCTACTATTTACTTTACCAAATTCCATTTTATGTCATCATTTTTGTAATTTCTTATTTGAACATTTTCATCTTTCTTGAACTCTTTGTCTAGTAAACCTTCTTTTCCTTCTTTCAAAGTTTCTTTTATACTAGATCTATTTTTGTTTTTCTATGTTGCATTAATAACTTGCATAACTTATCTTGTAGAGGTCCCTCTTCTTCCATCATTTTTCTTAGCTTGTCTTTTAATATCTGTACAGATCTCTCGGCTTGGCCGTTTGTAGATGGGTGATAGGGTGCTGTAAATTATTGCTGTATTCCATTGCTTTTTAGATATTCTTTCATCTCATAATTGTTGAACTGTGTTCCATTATCTGATACTATAGTAATTGAAAGTCCGAATTGTGTAAATAACATTTTTAGCATTTTTAATGTATGGTATGTAGTTATTTTGTTTTATTTCATAATTAAATCCTGCTAAATAGTGAGCATAGTGTACTAGTTTCAATACTGATGTAGCTGGTAATGCTTTTTCTGGGTTAAGTATTCTATCTAGAGGTTGATTATTTCTTTCTGTAACAGAATTGAAAAAAATCTTCAACCCTCATGGCCGTTTGTAGATGGGTGATAGGGTGCTGTAAATTATTGCTGTATTCCATTGCTTTTTAGATATTCTTTCATCTCATAATTGTTGAACTGTGTTCCATTATCTGATACTATAGTAATTGAAAGTCCGAATTGTGTAAATAACATTTTTAGCATTTTTAATGTATGGTATGTAGTTATTTTGTTTTATTTCATAATTAAATCCTGCTACATAGTGAGCATAGTCTACTAGTTTCAATACTGATGTAGCTGGTAATGCTTTTTCTGGGTTAAGTATTCTATCTAGAGGTTGATTATTTCTTTCTGTAACAGAATTGAAAAAAATCTTCAACCCTCATGTAAGAGCTGATGCTTCTTTATTTGGTTGATTATATCCGTGTTCTGCATGAATGGGCCGGCTCGACCGGAGTGATACCACGGCCTCACAGAAAACCGACGTGAAGCAAGTGTGAGTGAGGGTACCGGAGGCCCAACCCCTCCCTATTCCCTTCCCTCTACCCCTCAACCCTTCCCTCCCTATGATCATATTCGTCCCTCAAAGGCCGGCAGCGCGCTTGTAGCCCCTCTGGTGTTACAGGTGTCCATGGGCGACGGTAATCACTTACCATCAGGTGATCCGTCTGCTCGTCTGCCCCCTATACCATAAAAAAAAAAATAGATACAAAAGCTACTGGTCGTTCTTCACCATTTTGCATAATGTTTGAAAGAACTGCTCCAAAATCGGTCGGTGATGCATCTGTAGCTAGTGTAACTGGTAGTTCAGGGTGAAAAGGTATAAGTACTTTATCACTGCAGATCACTTTCTTTAGACTTATAAATACATCTTCACATTAGTGATTCCAGACAAATTTGTTATTCTTCTGTAGAAGTTAAATAAGTATTCTGTAGAAGTTAATAAGGTATAAAGAGTGTTATTTAGTAGCTAAGTTTGGTATGTACTGCTGGTAGTCATTAACAATACCAAGAAGTTGTCTCAATGTATGTACATCATGTGGTCTTGGTGTATCAATTATATTTTTGATTTTATCTTTCGTAGGATGAAGACCATCACAATCAATTGTATGACCCAAATATGTAAATATTTTTTTTTAGAAATTGACGTTTCCTCTTCTTGATTCGTAAACCACATTCAACCGTAATATTATCTGAAATACTAGTTGTAACCTGTGTAACAATTCATCATAAGTAGATCCTTGTATTGCAATATCATTGTAGAAACGTTCTGTTCCCTGTATGCCTTATAAAGTTTGGTCCATATAACGTTGCCATTGATTCGGAGCATCTTGACACCGAACATAAGTCTCTTTACCTGTAAGTACCTTTTGATGTACTTATTGCTTGCATTTCAGTTGGGGTGATCAATACTGACAACTTTTGTTCTAGAATAATCCTGGGAAACCATAGTTCACGGAGATATTGGATGTCAAATGAAACAAAAAAAAAACACTTTTTTATGGAAAACACTTTAAAATATTATTATGAAATCTTTTTCCAAAGAAACATAATACAAAAAAGCAATAGTTGTTCTTTAAATAAAGTCTTAAAATCATAACGCACGATTTATGTTGCGCACAAATGTGACTGTACATAGTAGGTACTAGTGATGTGCCGGATCGTTAAAAATGTATATCCGCGGATACGGATGCGAATACGGATATTTGATAGAAGACTCGGCTAAGAAGAGTACCTATGAAATATCACGGCCGGGGACATCTTTGCAAACGGTAAAAAGAGAATTCAAACAAACTTTTTTTACAGAATATATGGAAAAAGCTAGAATGTGGGATAATACAAACCCCAAATCAATAAAAAATTACTATTTGATTGCTGAAATGTTGGCTTTATCAGATTTACCGTTTCAACACGTAGAACAATTAGGGTTCCGACGATTGATGGACCATATAGTTCCAAACTATGTTCTAATAGGCAGAAAATATTTTACGGAACTTGTTTGCAGCGAGCTTTACGATAAAGTGTCATCAAAAATAAAAAGCATGTTACAAGATTTTGAGAAAGTTTCCTTCACATCAGATATCTGGTCAGACTCATCATCGGGAGTTTCATTGTTATCTTTAACATGTCATGGTATTACCAAAGACTTTCAACGAAAAAATAATATCGTTTTGAAAGCAAAAGTTCTTGAAGAACGTCATACGGGAGATTATATTTCGCAAATATTTCTAAGTATGTTAGAAGAATGGGGACTTGAGAAACAAAATGTGCACTGTATGGTACGAGATGGGGGATCCAATATGAAGCGTGCCTGTTTTTTATCTAATATACATAATATCGACTGTACAGCACATCAGTTACATTTGGTGGTTAAAGAAGCTATTAAAAAAGTTGATGTTATCTCCGTGTTACTCGCAAAATGTAGGAAAAGTGCAGGACATTTCAACCATTGCACAATGGCAAAGCAAGAACTTGAAAAAATACAAGTTCGACTCAATCAAAAACTTTTAAATGTTTTGCAAGACTCACCGACACGCTGGAATTCCAGCTATCATATGTTGGAAAGACTTGATTGCATCAAGGATTCGCTGTCGCTTTATGCTTATAATAATAAAATAGAACAATTTAATGCTGATGATTGGACTTTAATTCAAGAATTAGTGAAAGTGCTGAAGCCGCTGGAAGATATTACAAAAAAATTGAGCTCACAGAACACTTGTATATCTGACGTTATTCCTCTAGTACGAGCATTGAATAAAATCTATGATAAAGATGAGATGAACAGGAAAGTCTCAATATCAGTGTATCCGCTGTTCTGAATTTTGTATCTATTTTGAAGAATGAATTAGATTATCGTTTTTCTGAAATTGATAAAAATGATTTGTTTCAAGTAGCCACATTTTTAGACCCACGGTACAAAGGAAAATTCTTCAGTGATATTCTCATAAAAGAAATAAAAGAGAAATTGCTTACAGCTTTAGAAACTGAAGAAAATCCCACAGCCTCTATAAGTACTGGAGTCAAACCAATTACTGTTAGAAAAGGACATTGCCAGAATTTAGAAGAGTCTATTGCTAATATTTTAGATAGTGATGATGACGATGAGCAATCTGAAAATCAATTATCAGATACGAAATCTAATTTGATCATAGAATATATGTCAGAAAAAAGATTACCAAGAGATCAAGACCAGTTAAAATATTGGCAGATTAACATTAAAAAGTTTGGAGGTCTCAGTCACATTGCTCGCACATATTTATCATCACCTGCAACGAGCGTTCCAAGTGAGCAATTTTTCAGTGCAGCAGGTATTGTTTATGATCCTCGTCGTAACAGACTTTTGGGAGACAAAGCTGCCAAGTTACTCTTTTTTGAAATACAATTTACCATTACTTAATTTTAATTATAATTAATATTTTTTTCAAGTTCTTCTAATTTTCGCTATTGCTCATGTTATCTAATGTTTACACTTTATATGGTAGGTAGTACCTACCTACTAGGTACGCAGTATTAATTTACTTTATTAGAATAATCATTCAATTAGAATTTATTTATGGTTTTTTCATCTCATAGTTTTAAAAGTGATCTTATAACTTATAACTTTCTATTATATTGATCTCATTATAATTATAAAAAAGATTTAAGTTTTGGTTTTCTCAATTTCTTATATTTATAAAAGTGATATTAGATAGTTGATTACTACCTTTGAGTTATGTATTATTGGTATATAAACTTACTACAATAAATGTTTGCAATATAAAGGTGCCATATATTTGATTTTAAGAAATAAAAAATACTTGAATTGAATTTAATAGTTTTTTAAATCTACCTAATCACTTATATATAGCATTTCATCCTATCAATTGAAAATTAATAAGTTAAAAGGTCCGTAAAAGATCCGAGAGAAAAGTAACGGATACGGATCTTTCTTTTCCGTCGGATATCCGCGGATACGGATACGGATAGGGATATTCGGAACTAGTAGGTACGTACTCTGTCGAGTGCATTGACTTGCGAGGACCCGTAGGTAGTATTACCCTATGCTCTTAGTTAAATTCATTCAAAACTTAATTCTTTCATCTGATCACGATCATGTAACAAATTAGGCACTGCAATTGCATAAAGGTTATGTACCTTCGTTATTTGGTCGGCAGTTTCGTCTTATCTCTCCACAAAATCCATTAATCCAAATTAGGTATTCCAAACTAAAATAACGCACACATGTTGGAAACATTTTCCGGTTTTCTTTATTGCTGGCATTCGTAGAAATCGAAAAAAATAAATCTTCGTTTAAATTTTGAATTGCGTCCTTCAAAGCTTCTTTTACTCATACTTCACAGACTATTGTTTTCGCTCTTTGTCGTACCACATTTAACATTTTTAGCTATCTTAGAATCGACTTACATGAAAGGCAATAACTTTTGAAAACAATCCATACTATTGTAGCTTAACGAATGTTGAACGGTGTGATATATAGAAGTAATTTCTGCTGCTGACGTTTTGTACATAATATCGAGATTACGTTCAGATGTGGAAGTAACTGGTGCCTGGAAATAGCTAGTTATGTTTCTTGCAGCACGAGAACTCGTGATTTTAGAGTGACTACTTGTTCTCAAATGCTTCACTACATCATTTAACCCACCACGAGAAATAGTAGTCTTTTTTACACAGTTTACAGTAAGTTTTATACTTATCCGACGTCACAATACACAACCAATTATAATCATTCTGCCAATTTGTATAATATTTCGTCAAGCGATGTTTTCCTAGTTTGGCTTTCTTGGGTGCAATATTTTCTGGTTCCGAGCAATCTGTAACATAACTATCGACTTCAACCATCTTTAAACGATTATAATAAGTAAACACCACTAATTTAAGAAAAACAAACACGTAAAAAACTCAATCTTTTGATTGTTTCAAATGATTAAACTAAATTATGCATGCAACGCAACTCGCTACTTAACTTACTCACTGCTATCCAAGCACTAAAACAAATGCAATAGGTATTTGTTATTCCTTCGTATGTAAATCGTGCGTTTTCGAGAATTTCATTTTTTTTATAAAGAAATGAGTATAAGAAAAGAGTGAAACAGAAGATGTCGCGGCTGCACGCACAAATTGCGTGTCTCACCCCGCACCGCACAAATAAAGTGGCTCACTCCGCACCGCACAAATTGTGTGGCTCACCCCGCACCGCACACCTCTCTCTCCGCGCGCTTCCCGTACATTATCAGTAGAGATGGACGTTTAAATGAAAAGCACTTAATTAAGTATACTTTTTTAAATTAATGTAAAAGCGTTTTTTCACTTTGAAGAAAAGTATACTAATGCTTATTATATGTCCCGCCATCTATCGAGCCATGAATTAACTACTAGCTTCAATATTTTTTTCTATTTCGGTTTTATTGGAGGGCAGCACTTTACATAAATGCACTGTATTATACTACTACCTTTTTCCCGCGACTTCGTCCGAGTGGTAAAGTTACTTTGAGCGGCATTTCTAACGAATATTTATTCATTATATCGTGTAAAATACCTGAAATAAAGTTTCATCCCCTATTTTATCCCCTTGGGGGTATAATTGATCAAAATCCTTTCTTAGGGGATACCTACGTCATAGTTGCTTTATGCATGCAAAGTCTTAGCCCGATCGGTTTAAAATTGACGAAGTTTCATACAAACTGTCATCCCCTATTTTATCCCCTTGGGGTTAAATTGGATCAAAATCCTTTCATAGCGGATGCCTACGTCATGACATCTACCTGCATGACAAATTTCAGCACGATCCGTCCAGTGGTTTAGGCTGTGCGTTGATAGATCACTATGTCGTCAGTCAGTCACCCTTGAGTTATATATATTTAGATTTAGATTACGCGTAATATCTATCTAGACGCTTTTTTAAACGGAACTTATAAAAACCAGTACACTTTTCATTGCTGTAGTAGGCGCACGTTATGATGAAAGTTAATTCATTGTGTAAATTTAAAGATAAAATTTATTATATTAATTTCAGACAGTCCTATGCCTGTGATTCAGTACAAAGAAAAAAATCATTGATTTAAATAAAGCACAAAAAATGATGTTATCATTATTTTGTTTACTTACAACAATTTCGTTTTATTTGGTATTTAGCACGTTAGATTTGAAAAAAATAAATATTATTTAGTCAAAGCAAATTAGTTTCATAATAAACAACACAACGTTCCACGCTTCTTATCACTATTTCCAAATGTCAATTTAAAAAAATGAGTTAAAAAATAAGCAGTTTTAAAAAACAATAATTAAAAAACGTACAACGTTACAACGCTTAAAAATTTTACCGCACCGGACGAAAGGGTTACCAACTCCCAACAAAATAAAACCCTAAAATCAAACTCAAGTGACCCTAAATAACCCTAAATGGCATAACCAAAAGCCCCAAAAAAAGCCCTGTCCTGCCTGTATTACCCATAGATTAATGGAATTGTTTAAAAAAGTTTTCTGTTTCATTTAGGTGAATAAAATAGACCTCAGTTTTAATTTAAATAACTTTATTAGTTTTAATAAAACAGAACTTAGTTTTAATAACTTTTTACCGACAATATAGATCTTTCATGTTAATAATTAAAAATCGACATTATCGATAACAGTTAATAAATCGTGTAAATCCTGACTAGGCGTTTGTTTACAGCTTTCGCAATTTTTAAAATTATAAATGTTGACGTTGTTCAATTGTAACATTTTCGGAGATGGGGTAAACGTTACGCATAATCCACCATCTCGTTTTAAAACAAATCGTGTCATCATTAAACTTTGCAGCATTTCAAGAGACAATCGGCTTCGTAATTTGTTTTTCACAATATTGTATACAGAGAAAGCACGTTCGACACTAGCATTTGAAAATGGTATAGTTATTAATGTAAGTGCAAATTTTGAAATGTTTTCAAAACGCTTACCCACCAGCGTCACAATCGTTAAATACTTCAGAGCAAAATGCAGTTGAGTTGGTGGTGTCTGACCAATGTTTATTATTTAACTGACTCCATTCTGATTGTACATCATTCATATTACCATAAATATGAGGCCGCTACAAAAGTGTTAAGATTTTCGAGATGTCGGGCTTAACTTGGGAGGTAGCGACTTTCGGATGTAAATCGGCAATAATTTTTAACGTCGCAAAATTCTCTGGAAGCCGTTTTTGAATTTCCTCTGAAAATTCAAAAATCAAAAACTTCTTACATCTTTCTTTCACGTCTATTAAATCGCTTTCTTCAAGTTCATGAGAAACTTTTTGAAAACTATAACCGAAATATATTGATGTTGTGTGCATTATATATTTTTGAAAGTTAAAATCAACAAGTTCAGACTCTGTTAGCTTTTCTAATTGAGAGGGTACAACAATTTTTTGAAGTAAGTTTTTGTATAGAAAAAATACATCTTCAAATAATTTTATAGGTTCTACTTTGTCACTTTGGAAAATAACATTCAGTTGAATAACTTTTTTCAATTCATCTCTTAAAAATAACAATAACGCTTTAAATGGTAAACATTTCATAATATCATGAAGTTGCTCCGCCATATAACATTTGTTCTGCGACTTAGCAAGTGAAAACAGTAATTTTAGCTCATCCCATTATTCGATAATTGTGCTGATAGCTTCGTATCGTGCCAACCATCGCATCCCACTTAAACCTTGTATTCTTTTTGGTGATTGATTATTGTTCATTACTTCATAAAGATTTCGATACTTTTCTAAGCGTTTAGGGCTGTAGCTAAATCAATTGTGCGCTTCTCGTACCAAAAATTCCAATTGCCTAGGTAGTTGGGCTGCATTTTCAGCACACAAATGAAGTGAATGGCTTACACACTTCACAATAACCAAATCAAGTAATAACGTTGGCTCCATCTAAACATTTTAAACCATCTTTAATAAGTTGATTTTTGATGAACTCATAAACAGTTTTCGCATCGCATTCAATTAATTTAATATGTTGTGAGTATTTGCCTTTTTTTGATGAATAAAAACGCACCATAATGCATAAAACTTTTTGTGTAGAAAGATCTGAGCTTTCGTCTACTATAATCGAATAAGGAAACTCTCCTATCTCTTCTACTAGTTCACTGAGAAGAGAAGGCCCAAGCACATTTTGTATAATCATGGAACATTTTGTACGATGTAGTCTTAAACTCTTTAAAGCATCCGATGACGAATCTATTTGAGGCAGCAATTCAATCAAATGGTCAACTGTCAAAACGGCAGTATGTTCTGCAATAAATGCAGCAATGAACGCAATGGCTTTTTTATGCTTTTCGGTCAAGGCATGTCTCAATAAAGCCTTTTTATGTGCTTTTAACACAATGCGACAATATTTGTAATATGCCATTGAGTCATCCATGACATCAGGAGAAGGCCAATCTAAAATCAAAAGATGCATATTAATTAAATATCCTTACAACTCTTAGCAGTTTCCCAGAAGTATGGCAATTCTTCAAGACCATGGCAGCACCGAGTAGATTCATTAAAACAACAAAATCTCTGAATCGATTCAAAGCGTACGTTTTTAGATCGATTCTCGATAAAATAATATCTTAAAAATCGATTTTCAACTGACAGCAGTATTTTCAAATTGAAATAGAATATCATTAAATAAATTATAATTTACTGTAAGTATTTTATTTAGGTATGTGAAAAAAAAATACATTCTATTTTAATTAATATATTTAGCATTATGCGTGCGTGATATTTAGATAAAATAAATTCGCAAATTACAAGTACCTACATAATAAGACTTGCAGTTTGAGAATCATATAATTTTTTTCATAGCTCGAAGTACGAAGAAAGAAATACAAAACTAATATACCTCCACAAGTTTAGGAACATATGAGAGAATTATAAATCGGTTTCGAATCAACAACTTTGTCAATAATTATCGAATAATCGATTTCATCGACATGACATGCATTGCATAGGTCTACAACATTACCTTACTATTTGGTCTATAAGGGCCTAGCATAGGGCCAAGCATATAAAAGTAACAAGATTAAATAGGTAGGTAAGGAAATAAAAAAAACCAGAATGCATACTATGTTTTATGACTAAAACCAACCCAAAAAAAGCAAAAAACCATGACACAAATTAAAACAATACCGAAAATGCAAATACATTATAAAATGCCATATTGATGCCATAGCAATATGCATAGATAGCCCACAGACACACGTACGTCCAGCTAAACATTTGTTTCTCTATAATGAAAAATTGGTACCTGTTATTAACAAATAATTTAACGTTTTGTCCATTGTCGAATTTGAAGAGTAAACAAAGTTCTTTTGTGTGTTGCAAATGATGTTGTTTAATCTATTTAAAACCAAATAAAAAGATTCAATGGGTAATTTAAACATTATCTGATAATTTTTTAATTACTTACCATTATAGAAAGGACTAAAAATAGCATGTGAATAATAGAAATATACGTTGGTTACTATAAATTGATTACCTTTTAACTCTAAATCTGTCTCCCAAATTTTTGAATACTTTTGGCAGTACTTCTTTTTCTCTCCTTTTTCTTTCGGCATATTTTAAATGCCACTTTATACTTAAATTTATTTTCTAAGACTACTATTGTGCTGAAAAAACACGCAAAGGCACACAAACTAAAAAACAATCTTGAAAGTTTTAATCGACCGTTGTTGGTTCTCCTTTAACAGCCTGAAAAAAAAATTGTGGGCCTGATGTGGAATACCTCCGTAAGATGGCGTGTGCGTGAACGTGAATCTCTGTGGCTCAGATTATTTGCTCTACAACAATGAAGAAGGAGAAACTATCAAAATAAATGTCACTAGATGGCGGTAGTCTCTCACGAAATAAAATTTCTATAATTTCTAGAGCCCTAAAAAAGCCCAATTAGTTTATTTCCGCCCTAAATTTGGGGCTAAAAGCCCTAAGTTGTTAAGCCTGCCGGTCGGTAGGTATGTCGATTCACTTGAAAAAAAAATCGTTCTCTGATTCGATTCGAATCCAACATGCGGGCTGCGCTTCCTCAGCACACTGCACGCACGGTCGAGTTATCCCTGAAAGCGGGACCAAACCTGTTCCGCGCGGGACATTTAATTTCGATTTAAAAATCGGGACGTCTGGCAACGTTGGATCTACGCACCACGTGACCGTATCGACTGTACGGCTTCAATGACTTTTTTCGGCGGTAGGCGTGAATTAAGCAACATCAATTGTCTTAGTTAATTTTATTTTAAAATTAAAATAATTGCTTTTTTTCTTACAACGTTAAGCTTAAAACTTTATTTATAGTTCATTTCATAACATATATTGTTGGAAGAACAATCTAATGCGCACTTAAGTAAGTGACCTGCCTCACCTGCCACTCCAACAGTTTCAGTTTTGTGAATTTTTTTTTATATATCTACTGCACATTATAACTCCACTATGGTCAGTGTTGAAGCTGTTATCGAGACACAGAAGTCACTAGAGTCTGCTGTGATGCTCAAGATGAAGGAGTTTGAAGCTCTACTTAAGGCATCCCCTTCAGACAAAGACAAGGTACCACAAGTGCGGGATGAGTTTGAGTCCTTTAAGAAGATTGTCTGGAGTATACTATCCCTTCTAAGACAACAGATTGGTGAGGTCTCAAAATCATTAGACCAGCAGGAAGCAAGGCATCGGAGCAAGTATCTTCTTCTCTGTGGAGTCCCTGAGAAACCTGATGAGGACTTAAAAGCTACTGTTTTAACTTTACTACAAAAACACCTGGGCATCAGTAATTTGGACTCCTCATCTCTTAAGTCATGTTATCGGCTGGGTGCCTTTACCGAGGGTCGTTCTCGTTCTGTGGTTTTCCTGTAGTCTGCGTGCCACCAGCTGGAGGAATAAGACGAAACTCAAGGGATCCTCCTTGGTACTGCGTGAATATCTTACTAAGGCACGTCAAGCAGTATTCCATACAGCTCGGGGTCACTTTGGTATTCCAAATGTTTGGACAGCCGATGGGAATGTCATCGTGAAAGCTCCAGATGGTGGACGTCTAAGAGTTGCCTGCAGCGATGAACTGACTACTATTATGAACCAGTTCTCTAATTCAGCATCAGCAAGCAAGGCTTCGGCCGTAGTACCTGTTGGTTGTGAATTGTCTACGGGCATGCCATCTACATCTCGGTCAATACAGGCAAGATCTAAGCGCATTGTTAAGGGTGGCACGTAATATAATATTTTAACACAAAGGTTGCTCTTAGCATTGCCAATAACCTTGTTTATAGTACCGTAAAAAGGGGCTATTCGGGAAATGTGAGGCTATTTGGGACGAACGATGCAAAATTGTATTTCTTTCATTATATCTACTACGGTTATTAGTAGAAGTTTCTCTTTTAAATATGGCAACACTAACATAACTGACCTTCAAAAAAAAAATGTCACTTGACATTTTGTCTATGATTTGGTGAAATTGAACGTGAAGAAAAGTAAATGTGAAAAGTCATCAAAAAAAAGGTAAGCAAAACTTCTCCAATATTAGTAAATTGTGTTATTGTAGCCATTTCATGTACCTCTTATACTTTGATAAATGTAGCAGGCTGTAATGTAAACATGAATCCTTGTTAATTTAAACGACTGCTTAGAATTAGCGAGCAGTTCTTCGGATGGGGGTATTTGGGACACCCTTACGAGGCTATTTGGGACACTGTCCCGAATAGCCTCAGTAAGTGAATTTATGATCTTGATACTTTTATTTTTTTAAATTTTAACTCAAAATAGGAATTAATTACACTAACACTAACAAATTAACTTAGATGCTTATATTATTTTGCAGGTAAACATGGTCCGAAATTATAAAAGAAAGCTCATTTCTACAAGAAAAGGCAAAGTTCACAAACCATATTTTGCCTACACACGCGAATGTTTAGAAAAGGCAGTTGCGGACGTACGAAGCAAAAAGTTAAGTCTTCGACAAGCAGCTGAGGAGTATCATGTACCGAAATCAACGATTGAGAGACATATAAAGGGCACCACACACGAAACACCTGGCCATCCTACTCTTTTTAGTGAAACCGAAGAGTCGACTTTTTTGAAATACATACAGGTCGTTGGTTTGTGGGGTTTCCCCTTTAATATTCAAGACTTAAGGGTATTAGCCAAGAGATATTTGGATAAGATTGGCAGGAGAGTAGCTTGGCTAAATGACAACCTGCCTGGACGTGAATGGGCTGTTAATTTCATACGTCGATATGACAAAGAGATCTCAAACAGACTTTCGTCTAATATTACTACCGATCGGGCGAAGTTGGATGAAACCACCATCGACAATTTTTTTGATAACTTTGAAGACAGCGTGAGAGGTGTAGATCCAGACTGCATACTTAACTATGACGAGACAAATTTAACCGACGATCCCGGAGCTCAAAAATTCATATACAAAAGAGGTACGAAGAATCCAGAAAGGGTAGTAAACTCAACAAAGACAGCAATTAGTTTAATGTTTTGTGGAGCTGCTGACGGGACACTATTGAACACGTATGTTGTTTATAAATCTGAACATTTATACGACACGTGGATGTTGGGTGGACCCGAAGATGTGAGATATAATAAAACGAAAAGTGGATGGTTTGACTCGCACTGTTTTGAGGATTGGTTCATAAGTGTCGTCATTCCATACGCCAAATCTAAAAATGGACGTAAGGTAGTCGTATTAGGAGATAATCTTTCCTCACACTTTTCAGAAACTGTCCTCGAACAGTGCGAAAAATATAACATTTCCTTTGTGTGTCTACCTCCAAAGTCCACCCACATTCTACAACCCCTAGATGTGGCGTTTTATGCTCCACTCAAGCACTATTGGAGAGTCATACTAACAGAGTGGAAAAGGACTACAGGGCGAAAGCAGAAAACTTTAGCCAAAAATGCATTTCCAGAATTGCTCCAGAAACTTCTTACAATGTTAAAAGATAAAGGTTCCGATTCACGAAATCTGATTTCTGGATTTAACAAATGTGGATTATATCCGATTAACAGGGACAGACCGAAATCCAGAATCCCAACTACTAGCAACTCAGAAACTATTAAAGAAAATGTGTCTGCTGTTGTAGTTGACATGCTAGAAACTATAAGAGGCTCGCAGTCAGAGACCAACAAACCGAGAAAAAAACGGTGCAACGTGCCAGCTGGTAAGAGCATTACATTAAAGGATATACAAAACAAACTCAATGACAGTAACAAGGAAATAACACGCAAAAAAAAGCAAATAACACGGAAGGGAAAGGAAAATAAAAAAAATAAGCTAAAGAAAAAAAGCAACAATCAAAAAAACAAGCGTGAAAGCGAAACAAGCAATAGCGACGTAACGTTAAGCGTACATAGCGACTCAGATGTAGACATGTTTGATTGTAATGAACATGAATTTGAAATTCCTCATGATGAGCTGCTATTTTCAGACACAGACACAGATAACAATAATTATTTTATGCTATTGCAACAAAACCAACAGCAAGATTTGGAAGAAAATAATGCAAACAATGAAGGTTTTATAACAGAACAACAGATTGATCTGACAATTGATAATATACAGAAAAACAAAAAAAAATCACTTAAACCAAAACAAGACGTAAGTGATTCACTAAACATTACAGAAGCAGAGAGACACGACACATCACCTAAAGCCGGATGCAGTAGTGCGAATATTCCTGACGAGTCTGTCGCACTCAGAATAGATGATGCTGTGATAGTGCGATATGTGTTCAAGAAAAAAGTAGAGTATCACGTGGGAGCTGTTTTAAACGTTTTTAAGGATGGGAAAGTGAAAATATCATTTTTTAAAAGGCATGGTAGAAATGACAATACAAAGTTCACAAAACCAAAGAAGGAAGACATAGATATTGTAGACATCAAAACAGTTGTTAAGACTTGTGATCTGTTAGCATTAAATGAAAAGAGAACAGAATTCGTGTTTTTAGATGATGATGACTTTATTTACTTTGATTATTAACGTTGTTGCGACTCCCTTACTTCAGTCACCTCTCTAGTTCTGTTTCCAAACCAGACGTAGTCTAAGTTAAGCGTTACCTTGTTCCTAAATAAAGTTCCTACATCCAAGGATAATCGTTGGGTTCCTAGATTTTAAGAATTAATTTTAGAAGTTTATTTTTGTTTGCTAGTTACCTACTTCAAAAGTTTTGTGTTTTCTTTAATTTTTATTTGAATTTTAAATAATTAGGTAAATAATTCTCACTCTTTTCTAGGTTCTGAGCTATAAATTGTAACTCTGTTAACATGTTTTGAAGTTAATAAATACCTGTACCAACAAAAAATAAAAGTTTTTTTTTTAAGTTAAGAAAAGTGTAAGTAAAAAAGTCAAGTATCAAATTTTTTTATTCACTATATAGTTCAATAATATGTCCCGAATAGTACGGCAAACAGTCTATCCGGGATTGATGATTAAATAAGGCGTAAATCGCACAAACGTGTAAGTGTCCCACAAAGCCCCACCCGTGGACTATTTGGGACACAGGATTAAATATTTTTTTTTAAACAATCATTGCTCTTACAAATACAACCTACACCAATTACTGATAAGTGT